TTGCGCTGTTTGGGATTCTTCGACAGTGTTTTTTCAATATCCCCTGGGACTCAAACGGTTAAACAAGCGAAAATGTGCGTTACCTGCGAAAGGCACGGTACACGTGAGCATTGCTACGAGGGTGCACGGCGGCTGAAATGATCCCCAGGCCGCGCGGAAGTACAATACAAATAAAAACAAGTAAATTATTTAATCAAAGCTAGCTGAATTGAATGAACCAATGACTAGGTGATTAAGTGATCAATGTATTGTACGAACCAACAAAACGCTGCGGACCAACGACCAGTCACAAGTTAAGTTAGAACAGAAAGGATTTTTATTTAACTGGGCTAAATTTAGACTAACTATCAGTTGGTTAAACTACTTACACTTTTGCCGGTGTTGGGGACTAAACAAAGAGCTAACAACGCAAATGAAGGCATGGAAACAAGTAGATTAGCAACGCGATACAGGTGACTCAAGCAAATTCGAGCAGAAGCAAGGCAGGACGAGATACAACAAAACCAACATACTGACAAGTAACCATGCAATGAAAGAACAGGACAGAAGAATGGGATCTCCGCTGGTAGTCACATCTTGTAACAAGCACGGCTTAAAATAAAAGGACTAAGAGGATGACCGGCTACATGATATAACAAATGACGGCCCAAACCACGAAATTTGGAAGCTGGTATAAATCATGCAAAGCGCGGTGATTGCGCAAACCGCGACTGTTACTCCTACCAGTGGACAACTATCCTACCACGATGTATTGGGAAATGGTAGACAGGAAATCAAAACAAAATTTCTTAAATAAGCTAGAAGAAAGGGTAGTGAGCAGAGAGGCTGCGAAAAGATTGCAAATCACTGCAAATAAAGAAAATCATTAATGGACATCGTGCAATTTGCACTTTGGCTATTAACGCGAGTGCAAGTGAAAACAGAAATGGAAGAAAAACAGAGTGATTATTTCAGTGAATATTGAGGAACTTGTGGTAAAATGTGCGATCGATACCAGCATTAGAGGCAATTTAACAGTGGAAAACATCATCAGTACAATCACGAGAGAATCAAGCAACAAAATTAACAAATTGGACAAGGATAAGAAGCAACATATAGAAAGGAAAGATTGTGGGAAGAAATGAGAAACGAGGAAGGGCGAGCAAGGCAGGTAAGAGGGAGAAGCCAAAGGAAAAGAGTGGGAAACATGTGTAACATCCCTGAAGAATTTTTAAACTTTTATTGCAGTGTCATTTCTTCAATTATCGACTGTATTTCTCCCTTACCGACCGCGACATTAGACAAATCGAGTATCATAAGAATTCAGTAAACTGTCAGTAATAAATGTATAATTCTATAAGGAAAATTCCGCAATGCTATGTGTTTACGTGCCGCGAAGCTAGCTCCGAATTTCCTGGAATTCTCGCGTAGTCTTAGAGAAGGATAGACATACATTTTACAATTGCGATATTATTAATTATCAAAAACCATTAGTTAAACAAATCAGTCAATATATATCGAGCGTATTAATATTATGTTATCCGGAAATAGAGTCAGATGTTAGTTTATTGCAGTATATATTGTAAATTATAATATTGTTCAATGGAATGTTCTAGAAGCATCGTACGCTTATACATTTAGCTCCGATCCGTATAGAAGTCGTGCACAGCGTATAGAAAGAGATAGAAAATGCAATTTCATTAAAACACTATTAA